CACTGATCTAAGAGCTGTAACACGGTCTGTCCAAGAGCTGTGACGCACCGCAGGCTTTTATGTCCGTCACTTCAAATTTTTGTTGAGATGAGACAGAACCGAGGAGATTACACACGCCTGACAACCCCTTCAGAGAATTTTTCATTGGTGGGGTATAAGAAGGACTCCATCAGAAAGGGAGAACGCTGGTTCTGCCTAAGAGCCCGTTATCCTCTTTTCACTCTAATAAATTTCCTTTTCTTGCCTGACTGCCCGGCTTGCTCTCTGCTTCTCTGCACTCACCTTATAGCAGCTTGTACCTTTTTTCTCTTATCATCTGTGCCCCCCCTCCAGGCTGGAGTAAACCCAGGAGATGATGAAGATGGTGATAATGTAGATTATCTTTAGGATGACCTTCCAATGCAGATTTTGTTATCCTTCCTACTTTACAAATTAAAAAAAAAAAAAAGAAGACACAGGCAGATAAAGGAGACAGAGCAGTTATAGAGTCTGGGCCTTAACAAGAACCTAGGGATCCCTGCCTAATTTGAAGAACAGTGCCTGGAAGGTCAAGATCAGATTTTAAGGGAATTTTAAAAAATCTTTTGCAAAGAAATTCCCAGGAAAGACTCTGGCGGCCAGTCATTCCCCTGTGCCATAATTTTATTTATTTATTTCTGGCTGTGCTGGGTCTCCGTTGCTTTTTGGGTTTTCCTCTCGTTGTGGTGAGCGAGGGCCACTCTCTAGTTGTGGGGCACAGTCTTCTCATTGCAGTGGCTTTTCTTGTTGCAGAGCGCGGGCTCTAGGCATGCAGGCTTCAGTAGCTGTGACTTCCGGACTCCAGAGCCTGTGGCACACAGGCTTCGCTACTCCCCTGTACGTGGGGTCTTCCCGAATCAGACACCAACTCCTGTCTCCCGCATTGGCAGGGAGGATTCTTTACCACTGAGCCACCAGGGAAGGTACCCACCCCTGTGCTAATCGGCACATTTCTGGTGGGAATCACTTGACTCCTCAGCAACGAGGATTTTAGCCACCCCAGCGGCTGTTGTAGGAGGAACCTTCTTGCTCCACTTGCACGGGTGAGAGGGAGTCCTATTGGAGGGACACCTCCGGTGCCTCCACTTCCTCTCCTGGACGCCTGCTTATGGATGGACCTCATTTTGGCACTGGGGAGACTGACGAGAGATGTGTCTACTGGACCATGTTTCTCAGTGGGTGGGGCTGATGTGCATGTAAGCCAAATATTAATTCCTCCCTCCAGCCCTGGCTGACCTTATGTCTCACAGCAGTTCCCGGCTCACTGCTGTAGCTGGTCTTTCTATATGTGAACGTGCCAAACTCCCTGTGCCTTGTGGCCTTTGCCCTTTGATCTGTTCTCTGCCTAGAATACCCTTCCTCCAGACCATCCTGGTTCTCCTAGTCAAGGAGGGCTCAGTTCAAATGTCACCTCCCTAAAGGCCTCTGTTAATCCCCTCCCCCCATCTCAGACTCCTGTTTTCTTCATAGCACCTTCCAGGGTTTGTGGTTTTCTCCCTTTCGTGTATTTATATCAATGTTGGCTGCTCAGTCGTGTCTTCCTGCGCCTCTGTCCATGGAATTCTCCAGGGTTACCCTGCTGGCTCAGACATAAACAACATGCCCACATAGCAGGAGATCTGGGTTTGATCCCAGTTGGGAAGATCCCCTGGAGAAGGGTATGGCAACCCACTCCAGTATTCTTGCCTGGGGAATCCCATGGACAGAGGAACCTGGCCAGCTACAGTCCATAGGTTTGCAGAGTCGGACACAACTGAGCGACTAACAGTTTTACTTTCCATGGAATTCTCCAGGCAAGAATACTGGAGTGGTAGCCATTCCCTTCTCCAGGGGATCTTCCCGGCTCTTGCTGCACTGGGTCTTAGTTGCTATATGTGGGATCTTCGATCTTTGTTGCAGCAGGCAGAATCTTTAACTGTGGTATAATGGCGTCTAGTTCCCCGAGCAGGGATTGAACCTGCATTGGGGGCCCGGAGTCTTAAACACTGGACCACCAGGGAAGTCCCTCCTTTTGTCTTTTTAATATCTGTCTCTCCCGCTCAACTGTAAGATCCGGGAGAGAAGGGACTGTTTCCTCACATCCAGCACAGTGCCTAGCACATAGCAGGTTCTCAGTAAATATTGGTGGGATGTGTGTCTTTCCTGCTGTCTCTGCTTCTTCCTTCCCAGTGTTAAGATGGAGAAAGGGAGTGGGGAAGCCAGAACAGTGACCTCCCACCAGCTTCCCTGAACCTGGGAGGGTGGATTTAAATCCAGATAAGAGATTGGACCTCTCTGGTGGTCCAGTGGTTAAGCCTCCACACTTCCACTGCTGGGGGTGTGGGTTTGATCCCTGGTCGGGGAACTAAGATCACAGCATGTGCTCAAGGTAAGGAAAAATAGATGGGAAGTGTCTCTGTGTAGTTCTCCATTCCAGTTTCCCAAAGCCCAGAGGATTCTGTAATATGAGCCTCAGCTGACAAGTTGGGTCTCACAACATCCTGGGGAGAGAACGAGTCAGTCTCAATTCTGTTGGATTTACAACCCAACCAACTCTCCAGCACTCACCCGAGTGTTTTCTCTGTTGGATGCTTAGTTTTAAAATTCGATTTTCTAAGATGACTCACAGGCTAAGTGGATCAGAGCTGACATTCGAGTTGGTGCCATGCTGTTCATGAGACGGTACATCATGGTGGTTGGGAACCCTGCAGTCAGAGCTGGATTCAAATCCTAGTTCCCAGACTTTCCAGCTGTGTGACCCTGAGCTAAACCTCAGCCTCTCTGGGCCAGATGCCTTATCTGTAAAATTGGGATAATAACCTGCTTGCTAGAGCTGTGACATAGTCAGTGGATGGCACTTAGCATGTTGCTTGGTCCTAAATACTTTTATTTTAAATTGTTACATTTTATTACAAAGCTCTCTTGAAGACAATAGGTGCAGAGGACTAGTTTGGGTTCTGTCGCTTGCTGCAGCTTGCTGCATGACCTTGGGCAAGTCTCTTTTCCCTTCTAGAGCCGTTTCTCCATCAGCAAACTGTGTGGAGGGTGGTGATTCAGGCAGCTAAAGGGATAGATTCGGGTTCAGCACAAAGGAGAGAGTTCTCACAAATATCAGGCTACATGTGAGGTAATGAGCTCCCCATCATCTCTACTGTGTATTACGGAGAATGCCAGAGTGGAAGGAATTTCAAACAGCCCCTCATTTTGCAAGCATGGCAGTCAGGGCGGTGACTCAGAAATATAGAATGATTGCAGACAAAGGAGCTTAATTACGATCCCCTGCCTGTACGTCTGAGGCCCACACCACACACCGACCACCCAGGTGTCAAGCACAGATCACCTACAAAGGGCCTGGGCGATTGAGACGCTGCATGGGCTCAGCTTCAGTCAGCTACTGGCCGAGTGACCCTGGCAAAGTAGCAGCTGCCAGTACAGCCCTGCCTGCATCTCCTCCCTATGCCAGAGGCTGCTCCAACAGCCCCCTACTCTCAACCTGAGGACTTCTTGCAGCAGCTAGAAGTGCTGGGGAGTTAATGCCCCTGGACGCAGCCCTCAACCAAGGACAGGTGGGAGTGTGCGGATAAACAGCCCAGCTCCCCACCTCTAGGCATGCACTGTGGCTGGCTTTCTGAAGCTCCCAGCGGCTGAAGCAGCTGTTGCCTGCTCTGGCACTTTGTGATAACACCTCTATTGCTTCCTGCCCTTCCCTGCTCCCTTCCCCATTCTCCAAGCAGGGCTTCCTGGGATCACCTCCTATTTCAATGAACTTGAATCCCACTCTCGGGGAAACCCAAGCAGAGACAGCAAGTTACTTAACCTCTTGGGCTGGTCTCAGTTCCTCTGGATGGGAAGATTCTGTGAGTTAATAGAGATAAAACACTTCCAGATCTGAAAGAGACACGTGTACCCCAATGTTCATCGCAGCACTGTTTATAATAGCCAGGACATGGAAGCAACCTAGATGCCCATCAGCAGACGAATGGATGAGGAAGCTGTGGTACATATACACCATGGAATATTACTCAGCCATTAAAAAGAATTCATTTGAATCAGTTCTAATGAGATGGATGAAACTGGAGCCCATTATACAGAGCGAAGTAAGCCAGAAAGATAAAGACCATTACAGTATACTAACACATATATATGGAATTTAGAAAGATGGTAACGATAACCCTATGTGCAAAACAGAAAAAGAGACTCCTATGTATAGAACAGACTTGTGGACTCTGGGAGAAGGTGAGGGTGGGATGTTTCAAGAGAACAGCATTGAAACACATATATTATCTAGGGTGAAACAGTTCACCAGCCCAGGTTGGGTGCATGAGACAAGTGCTCGGGCCTGGTGCACTGGGAAGACCCAGAGGGATTGGGTGGAGAGGGAGGTGGGAGGGGGGACCGGGATGGGGAATACATGTAAAAAAAAAAAAAAAAAAAAGATACACTATGGTTGTGATAAAAAAAAAATAATAAATAAATAAATTAAAAAAAAAAAAGAGATAAAACACTTGCAAGGATGTCTGGCAGGATGTTTGTTTAATAAATGGCGGGGTTTGGGAGGGGGAGAGGGGAAGGAGATAAAGAACCTTTATTTATACAAAACTCCGTCTCTTCCCATTCCACCCTCCTCAGCAAACACAACACCGAGTGATGAAATAAATTTTGAGATGCACACAAACAAGCATTCCTCAACCTGAGGTGGGAGTTTTTAATGTGCAGGTGATGTGCCTGGTGTCAGCGTCTTGGTTGCCCCAGCTCGCTGGATCAGGGCACCTGAGCCACCCCTTCTGAATCAGTGATGACAGCAACGGCATCCATGGGGGCACACTCCTGCCCCAAGGTCGCGAGGCATGCTTCTTCTGGGGATCCAATGCTTAACAGGAATCCCAGACTTGCGTGGGAAGCTGGCCACAAGCTGTCAGGTCTCAGGAATCACAATTTATCATGTCCTTGGTTAACTCTGCTTAATTAAGCTCCCGTCTGCAACTCAGACCTTGCCCCCAGCGTCAACTTCTGTTGAATGAATAGACATCTCTGGGCAGATGACCACCCTTCCTGATCCTCAATTTCCCAAGGCCTCCCAAGTCAATTCCCCTGTTGGCTTGGTGAGTTTCTAGGCTCAGCATCCAATCTAGAGAGATGATGGTAGCTACTCTAGAGTCTGGGCAAGAACTGGGTAACAGAGCAACAGAAGATGCCTTGAGTGTGACAGGGACAGTCCGCTGGTGCAGCTGTGAACCAATGAAGTGGCCAACAGCTTGTGCACAAGCCAAGGTTCCCGGGGAATCTCCAGATGACTGCAGGTGCCTCTGTGGGCACAGCTGCCTGGAGCCCCCCACTCCCATGGTAGGTGGCAAGCCCAGGCCAGTGAGGGGAGTAGGGGGTGTCTGGTCCCTGTAGACCCAGCGTCTGACAACTTCATTCCAAAGCTCCCAGAGTCCTCTGAAACTCTGCCAGCCTGGCGGCCTTCCAGGGGAGGCATTTCGCAGGCCTGATTAAGGCCCCCTCTCCCCTGCAGACTTCAGCAAGGAACGGGCACGCACCTAGGAAGCATCCATGCACGTGGGCCCGGGGGAGAGCACAGCCGCCACTGCAGGAGCCTGGCCTGAGCTCTGGACATGGCTGGGGGCATTGAACAGAGGGCACTTCCCCTCCTCTGAGACACCCAAGGGTGCTAGGGAGGCCGTAGAGAAGCTGGCCTCCAGTGGGTCCCCCTGGGGCAGGGAGTCCGGGGCCTTCAGAGGACTCAGCGGGGGTGAGGACCTGTCCCCACAGCAGCAGCCGCAGCAGGGGCTGGCCACAGTCTGCGCCTTGCCAGCCTCCTCCTGGCCATGGCACTGCTTCAGGTGGCCACACAGGTGGCAGGTGAGGGCTGAGTAGACGATGCCATTGCCCAGGTCGTCCCTGAGGGCGTCCGTGGCCGGCACCGGGGCGAAGAGAGGTTTCTGTCCGTCATCTCCCTTGGCTGCTGCCTCCAACTCAGGCCACTCTGAGTCCTGAGGGCTGTGAGGGGGGTCCACGTGCAGTCCGAAGGTGAACAGGGGGACGGGAATGGGGGTAGGGGTCCCGGGGCAGCCAGAAGCGAGGCTCTGGAAGGGTTTGTAGCCCCCTTCCCCGCCGCTGGGCTCAACCCCAGAAGTTGCAGGGCAGCTGTCACTGCTGGCAAGCAAGCTGGAGAAGGCCTTGTAGCCCGCCTCTTCAGAGGGCCCGAAGCTGGCCAGCCCGCTGTCCTGGGCGCCGCCCTCCTTCACCGCCTGCACAAATTCCCGGTAGCCGCTGCTAGGGGCCAAGGTAGGGCCGGGGGCCACTCTGTGCTGGAGGACCCTCTGACGCAGGATCTGCTCCCAGGTTTCTGGTTCTGGCTGGGGGGCGGCGGGGACGTCAGGGTCCACTTCCCCCAGGTGTTCAGCCAGCTGTGGGTCCGAGTCAAGCTCTCCAGGGTCCGAGGACTGACTCAGGAGGGTGCTGAAGCTGCGGTAAGCGGGGTTGTCGGAGATGACGGCGGGCATCTCTGGGAGAGCCAGGCTGGCTGGGTTCTGGGTCGGAGTGGCCGGGGGACTTGACTCTGGGTTCAGAGTCTGTTCCTTGTCCTCAGACGATGCCTCCTGGGGCCCCACACTTGGGAACTCGGCCCAGGGCTTCGGAGCACTCTCATTTTCTAAAGGGGGAAGAAGGCAGGACTGCTCCACACCTTGTGGACTAAAGCCCCCAGTCTCATCTCTGAGAAGGGGCAGAAACATGCTCTCTGTCAGCCGGGCCACGATGTCCTCCCTGCCCCCCTGGAAGAGGCCCCTGCTGTTCTCAGGCGATGGGCAGAAGCTCCCTTTATCTTCCTCCACATCCTCTTCTTCCTTCTCCACTTGGGCCTCAAACAGCTCCACGCACCGCACCACGCTGATGCTCTCTAGCCGGAGGATCGTCTTGCTGACCTCCACGGGGCGCCAGGCTACTTTCCCAGGACCTTGGGAAGGCTCATTTCTAGCAGCCTTGGAGAAGTCTTCATCCCTATCCATGCCATGCTCCAGTAAACAGGGCAGGAGCTTGGCAAGACAAGTCTTCCAGTGTCTACAAAAACAAAGTTTAATCAGAGTTCACTTTCTCCTCTTGAAAAACTCCTATTCACCCTTCAAAGCCCAGCTCAAAATCACCCTGAACTGAGGGGGAGAAGGGCTTGGACCTGGGACACTTTGCTGCAGTGCTCCAGTGCTTGCACTGGAACAAACCTCTCCTTGAACAACAAAATATTAAGAAACTATATGGAAGTAAGAATAACTGCATGCATGCTGCAGTTGGGGCAAACGATGGACAAAAGATACAAAAAGACCCAAACCTCAACTGCCACTTTTGAAGAGCTGGGAGCAAAACGGTGTCAGGAACAAAAGCAGGGTACTGTGCATACCCCCGGCATACCCCATCACCACAGAGTCAGGCAAAACACCTACAACCACCTCTCCAGCCCAAGCCCTGGACACACCCCTGCCCTCACCCTATATAATGAACCAATTCGCCCCTCCCTGGGTAGTGAGCAAGGGAACCTGTTACTTGTTCTCCACCCCCACTCCCCACTGCAGCAGGGGCTCCAGTTAAGCCTTGCCTGAATTTCTTGTCTGACCTCTAATCAACTCCCTAGGTGGCGACAGTGGTAAATAACCTGCCTGCCAGAGCAGGAGACATCAGAGATGTGGGTTCAATCCCTGTGTCAGGAAGGGAGGAGAGCGAGGCAACCCACTCCAGTATTCTTGCCTGGAGAATCCCTTGGACAGGGGAGCCTGGTGGGCTCCAGTCCAGTCCCCAGGGTTGCAAAGAGTCAGACACAACTGAAGTGACTTAGCAACCATGCACGCACGCACATGCCTTGCTTGTTACTGCCATCAGCCTTGCTCAGGACAGACTGGGCATCCCAAAGTGGTTCACTGACCACCCCCCACCACCAATGAAACTCAGGGGGCTCAGCTGGCAGTTGACCTACTCACACCACCCCTCCCCCTGCCACCCCTCAAAACCCAGTGTCATAGGACAAGTGCTGAACACGCAGGAAGGAAAGGCAGACATCAAGGGTATTGTGACTCCAATTTCAAGATGGGGCCTCCCATCCTAATTCCAGCCCCTTCCAAATCCACGTAGGCTATAATCTAGGTTCATATACGTACGGGCACTTGGCTGGTTCCTGGCCTCGAGACCGCTTCCGCCACAGTGGCATCTAAAACACAGAGACAGCCAATGACGCAGAGCAGACAGGCCTTCCCACCCAGCCTGGCATCCAGCGATGCTCAGAACCTGTTTGCCTCAAGGAGACTTGACATCATCAAGATTTCCAAATTTGGGGATGATTTGTTATACAGCAAAAGCTAACTGATACATAAATGACGCTATGTGCTGTAATATTCACTTCCTGTGAACTGTCTCAGTGAATTCCAACATCAGCCCTGTTACAACCACTACTATAACCCACAGGAAGACACTGAGGCTCAGAGAAGCTAAGCAACTTGTGAAGTCTACCCTGCAGATAAGTGACAGTGAGGGTTCAAAGCCAGCACCACTGGACTCCAGAGCTTGCCTCAGGGTCCCTGGAGAATTGAGGACTCACAGACCTTCTGTTCTAAACAGACGTGTATCCCCCCCTACACCCCTTCCTAGAGAACCCCGATGGTGCTCAGGGAAATTCCATGTGGCCATCGCACTGGGGGAGCTGGCCCCACTCCTAGCTCAGGAGTGTCCATCTGGATGGCCTCAAGTATTCCCGCTCCTTACAGGTGAGTGGTTTATGAAAGAGGCTGTGATGTAATTCAAGTCGATGAGAATGGAGGGATTTGCTGGCGCTTCCTGGGGCAGTTTCCTGCTCTTAAGAGGAAGAAACGGAAAACTTGTTCCCTCTTCAACTCCTTGTGACCTCCTGTCCTACACAGTACAGGTACTTCCCGAGGAGACGATATGCAGAGGACCTCAGAGACCTCTGAACAACAACCACAAGAAAGCAAGAAATCCAGTTCCAGAGGACCCCACCCCCCAAGCTGAAAGAACACTCATGGAAGCCAAAGAAGGGGAGTGAAAGCCTCTGGCTGTTGACTCCACCTACCCGGAAATCTTCCTGACCTCCCACGTGCAACCCCCAAAGTCAAGAGGTATCCTTAACACCCGTGTGTCTTGAATTGTATTTCCCGATACACACGACCCAAAGCATCCTCACCCGCCCTTTCTCCTACCTGAGAATCCTGAATGACGACACCCACGAGGGGGCTGTGGGCTGGGTTGGGAATTTGGTCCCACCATTCTTTCTTAATCCTAAAAAAGAAAGGACAAGTTGTTGCTCCCTGAATCACTAACAGGTTGATGTTCTTCCCATAAAAAAAAAAAAAAAATGCATAGTCACCCAGACTTATTAGGGCTCAGAGATCACGCTGATAGATTTTTGGCGCCCTCACCCCGTGAAACAGGTTCTACCGCTAACCCCACTCTACAGATGAGGAGACTGAGGCCTGGGGAGGTGAAGTGACAGCCGGGGGGCATCAGAGCTGGGTTCGGGTCCAGCACTTTGCTACCCAGAGTGGAGTTCCTGATGCGGCCACCTCCGCCCCAGAGAGAACAAGTCCCTGGGAATTAGGGGAGATCCCAGCGACAGAGGGACTTCCCAGGTGGCGTGAGTGGTGAAGAATCCGCCTGCCAATGTAGGAGCCACAGGAGACGTGGGCTCAATCCTTGGGTCGGGAAGATCCCCTAGGGGAACAAATGGCTACCCACTCCAGTATTCGTGCCGGGAGAATCCCATGGACAGAGGAGACTGGTGGGCTACAGACCACGGGGTCACAAAGAGTCGGACAAGACTAAGCAGCTGAGCACAACACACATAAGATGCAGAGAGAAGATCCTGGGTTTCCCCTTCAACAGCCTTTACTCCGGAGCAGCGGAGGACACAGTGCCATGGAGAAGTCTGGCATGGCCGGAGAGGCCGAGGGATTCCTCCTCTCTTCCTGGGTCAGGGCTGGGCGGGAATCTTCTCAGATTGCCTCTGGATTAGCCTCCACCCACTCCACTTAGCCAGTGGCCACCTATTTACTGAGCACCTACTAGGAATCGCTCACTGTGCTGCCAGGCTTCAGGGGACAAGACAGGCAGAAACACCTGCCCTCACAGAACTGGCCTTCTAGATGACGGAGACAGAGAGACAGGTGCAGAAATGACTATATGACATCATTCATTCTTGACAAGAAGTGCCAGGAATAAAAATAAAGGCGATAAGGGACTAGAGAGGGATAAAGAGTGTGATCCAGGAAGGCCTCTCTGAGGAGGTGGCTTCCGGGAGGCGACTGAATATGGAGGAGGTGCGGGTCTCAGCAATGCCTGAGGAAAGGGCTTTCCTGGCAGAGAGCACAGCGTGTGCAAAGGACCCAGAAGAAGAACTTGCTTGGGTGGGGGGGTCAAAGAACAGCAAGGAGGTTGGAGAACTAGAACACAGAGAGTGGGGGTGCAGAGGACAGACAATGGGGAAACTGAGGCTCAGAGAAGGGGAAAGACCAGAGGTATCAGCGACAGACGTGGAGAAGGGACCTTGCATTCCCTGCACACCTACTGTGTGCCTGGCAGACTGCGGATACTCACTCACCACCAGCCCTCCACCATCGCCCTTCCTTATGTGGTCAGCTTGGGCCCATTAGTCCCATTTCAGAGGTGGGAGGACTGAGGCTCTGAAACTCCATATTCCTAGGGCTCATGCTCATTGGAGACAAGGCTCCTGGCACCCAGGGCTCCGGGACTCCCTTAGGACTCTTGGGACTGATGAAATAGGGACCCAAGGCTGAACAGAGGTTCAGAAACTCGGTCATACAGTTACCACATGCCAAGGCCAGGATCCAAACCCAGGTCTCCTGATTCTGCTGGGCAATCGTCTAGAATTCCTGTCTGTTACCACCCAGTATGATCCATCTCCCTTCTGCCAAAGGAAGGCCCCATGCCCAGCTCCTGCCCACTGTCAGGCCATCACCCCTCAGAGGGACCCACCCTGGCACCCCTGGAATATCCCCCAGCTCATTGTGGCTTAATTCCTTCAGAGCAAGGGTCACTACGGAAAACAGCCAAGGTTCCTTGTTGGCCTGGCATCTTCTGCCTCCCCAAGGACACAGGGTCTCCCTGTCCATTCAGTGCCTTGCACAGAGTAGCTGCTCAGGAAATATCTATCATTGAATGAAAGGGCTGCAAGCTGTCAGATGAGAGAGAGGAAATTCCAGCCCACTCCACACTCTAGGGCGGCTGGCTTGGCAGCACCCGTGCGGAAGCCCGGGACTCACTTGATGATGCTGATATAGCAGGACACGCACACCGCCAGGATGATGACGCAGGAGATGCCGACGCCCAGTTGGAGGCGCTGCTCCAAGGTCTCCCCGTTGTCTGGAAGTGGAGGGAAGCCGTGAGCCTTCAGGGTGCCTCCCAGAGAAGGAGACTGAGGCCTCAGGACACCCCAAGACCCTGCGTGAGCTGGCTGCCACGTCAGCCCCTACTCCCTGCTCTGAGCCCTTGCCACCCTGGCCTCCCCGCTGTCCCCTACTCTTCCAAAGCTCAGGGCCACCTCAGGATCCTGGACTTGCCACTCTTTCCTGAAGCACTGAAGTCAAGAGCAGAGACTTGGAGTTGGATGCCCTCAGTTCAAAGCCTGACTCTGTCAGAGACTTGTTGGCAACCCAGGACGAGAGGCTCACCCACTCTGTGCCTCAGTTTCCCCATCTGTAAAGTGGGATTAATAGCCACTTAACTCACTGTTGTGAGGCTTATACAATTTAATATACACGTGAAGCAGGGCCTGCGTGCCCATTCACAGAGCTGGCCCCCTCTCCTTGTTCACTGACAGGTCAAGAAAGTTCTCCCCCACCCTTTCTCTAACGTTGCCTTCTCCCATCCCTTTTCCCTGCTTTATTTCCTTCTTGGACTTACTAGATCTAGATCTCATCTATATTTCTGTTTACTCGTTTATTTTCTGTCTCCCCCTCAAAAATGTCAGTTCCACAAAAACAGGGATTCTTGTCTATTTTGTTCACCACTGACCCCTCGGCATCTAGCGCTGGACCAGTGTCTAGTGTGTAGTAGGAGCTCCAGAAATATTTGTGGCAAGAATGAATGAGTGTCCAGCACGTGGTAGCTGTCCCACACAATCTATTTCCCTTTCCTTCTCCAGGGCAAAGGGGAAAATCAATTTGATAAAACTTTCCCAAGCACTTACTATGTGCCTGGTGCTATGCTGGACAATGGACATAGACACGGGGCAGGCACCACCCACAGTGCTTACAGCCCAGAGCTGGAGAGAGATGGTCAAGAGCCATTGATGGAACAGGATGAGTGATGCTGAGAGGGGTGTGTGGTGGGTTGGGGTGGTGTACCTGCCACTCACCATTATACCTAGCACTTTGAAGAACTCTTCCTTCAGTGAGTGTTCCCAACAGCCCTTTCTTCTCCCCATTGTTCACATGATGCCTCGGGCAGACTCTCCCACCCTACAGCTGTCTCCCCTTCTTCTTTGCCAGGCTGTGATGTGCCCACCCTGAGGTTTGGGCCAGTCATGGGCCCAAACTACTCCCCTTTCCAGGCATTTGAGTTCCCAGCCTCCCTTGCAGTTGGAGGGAGCCATGTGACAGTCCTGGCTGATGAGATGCAAGGGGAAGTCCACCAGAACTGGAAGGTTTTTGCTTCCTGATGAAAGGTGCACGGGATGTACTCCTTGTGGCAGCCTTCCATTTCCTTTGGGCCTGGGACATGAGGGTGTTTGCAGTAGACAACCTGGGGCCATGAGGTGACAGTACGTAAGGATAAAATGCTCCCATGCTAGGGATGGCAGAGGAAAAGACAAGACTCTGGAGTAGCAATATTCATTGGTTAAACCTCTTTTTTTTTTTTTGGCCATGTAGTGCAGCTTGTGGGATCTTAGTTCCCTGACCAGGGATTGAACAAGGGCCCTCAGCAGTGGAAGCAGAGAATCCTAAAGCCTGGGCGGCTGGGGAATTCCCCTGTAAGGCTTCATTTTATGTGAGATAATTCAGTATCTTTACTGAAAAAGTCGCCAAGTGCTGTTTAGGGGAACAGAGTACCAGATGAGGGACTACATTTCCCAGAACCCCTTGCAGCTATGTGTGGCCATGTGACCAGTTCCACCAATAGAACTTGAGAGGAGATGATGTGTGTCACTTCTTGCTGAGGCTTTTAAGAAGCAGCTGTGGTCTCCTCACTCTCATTCCCTTTCTGCTGGCTGGATTCAGATGATGGCAGGGCCCTAGAGCAGGGATTCTTCACTTGGGGACTTTGAACATGGTTGCCATTAGAATTTAGGGGTCTGGGAGCTTTGACGGGAAAGAAATGATAGCTTTATTTTCACTAACTTCTTTTTTTAATATAATTTTATTTATTGATTTATTTATGGCTGTACTGGGTCTTCATTGCTGCACAGGCTTTTCTCTAGTTGCAGGGAGTGGGAGCTACTCTTTAGTTGCAGTACACAGGCTTCTCATTGCGGTGGCTTCTCTTGTTGTGGAGCACAGGCTCTAGGGTACGCAGACTTCGGTACTTGCGGCTCCTAGGCTCTAGAGCTCAGGCTCAATAGCTGTGGCGGAGGGGCTTAACTGCTCCATGGCATGTGGGATCTTCCCAGATCAGGGACTGAGCCTGTGTCTCCTGCATTGGTAGGCGGATTCTTTACCACTGAACCACCAGGGAAGCCTTCACTAACTTCTGAAACCTGGCGTTTCCTCCCATTAGGAATGGAGAGAGCAAGCTACAGTGATAGCAGCATCAGTCACTCAGGCCCCAACAGAAATCACAGGTATTCTCTTATCACCCGATGGCAGGAGTACCATGAAATATCCTTTAAGCTCATCTACTTTGAAATGACAGTATTGATGAGAACTACCACTAGATCCTATTTTTAATGTGTTACTAAAGAAGCCTATAGTCTTAGATAGCAAATATATTTTAAAATATTTTTATAATCACATTTCAATACAATTAAGTTTCCACTGAAATCCTCTGTACTTTATATCATACATTTAAAAATATTATTCTGGCTTGGGGTTGTCAAGGGGGAAAGGGGTGTGGGGGGTGGGATGAACTGAGAGATTGGGACCGGCCATATGCACACTACTTTAAGTAAAAGAGATGATCAACAAGGACCTACTATATAGCACAGGGAACTATACTCAGTACTCATTAATAACCTATATGGGGAAAAAACCCTGAAAAAGAATAGATATATGAGTATGCATAATTAATCATTTTGCTGTGTGCCTGAAACTAACACAATATTGTGAATCAACTATAAAAAATACTGAGATGAGGTCCACAGGCTTTGCTGGACTGTCCATGATACAGAAAGGCTAAGAATCTTTGTCCTAGAAAATGATGGAACCACAGGGAGGAAAACCAGTTACGGATCAGCAAAGTTCATGTTGAACTGTTACCTGAGCAAGAAATACATTCCTATAGTTTGTTAAGCTGTGGAACTTGTGGGTTTGTTACTGTAACCTACCCCACACCCTGACTGGTATACCACATCAGTTGGAAATTCTGTGACTGCAGTTAGAGACATCTTATGATATGGAAACCAGATATTGGGCTGGGGTAAGTGGCCACAGAATGAAAGTGGGGAGCAGAGATGCTAACTGCTGAGAGTTCCCTGGTTGCCTAGTGGTTAGGGTTCCAGGCTTTCGATAGAGTGACCCGGGTTCAATCACTGGGCTCTCGTGGGGAAACTGAGATCCTGCAAGCCGTGAGGCAAGACCAAAAATAAATAAATAAATAAACCAACCCATACACACTCACAAAACCCTCCAAAAAACAGAGAGACAGAGAGAGATGCTAACTGTTCCGAACTCCTGGTAGAATACTCACAGTTAAGCCATTTGGTGCTGGGGCTCCACTCACTCCAAGTGCTGTTGTAGCTCTGAGCCCAGGCCTTCACCCGTGCGCTGTAGGAAGCTCCAGACTTCAGGGTGCTGGCCGAGACACGGAGGCTGTACCCCAAGTAGGTCACGTTATAGATTCTAAACTGGTGGAAGAAAGGGAGCTGTCAGTGCATCTGCTTGGAGAGAGGGCAGAACCAGCTCCCTCCCGGGCTGCTGTCCTTCACTGACCCCACAGTGCTGAAGAGCCACCAGCCTGGGTATTTGGTTATTCCTCCAACTCTAGGCCTCTGCCAGCTTCACCACAGTGACCAGAGTCAAGCAAGATGGGTCACGGAACCGGCCCTTCCCCTACCCCCGCACCCCGTCATTGATTAGCCATTTGATGCTACTGAGGCAAGCTGATGAATCCTTCTGGGTTTTAGTTTCCTCATCTGTAAAATGAAGGTAAGAGTTCCTACTGACACTTTCTGGCTGTGTGACCTTGGATAAGTGACATAACCTCTCTGGGCCTTGATGTCTTCTGCAAAATGGTGATAATAAAAGTGCTGACCTCCCAGGGCTGTTGTGAGGATTAAGTGGGTTAATACAGGTCAGTACTTCAAACAGGGCCAGGCATGCAGGGAGCACAAAAGTGATCTTTCTGAGCACAGAGAGAGGCCAGCATGCCTCTCTCTCCTTCAAGTGCCACTCTAGAGCCTCCCCAGTCAAGCCCAGAATCAATGGCCCATCATCTCAGCCTCGCCCAACCAAGCCCCTCAATGAGAAGGAACTTCCAAGATCTGCTCTTAAGCGAAAAGGGCAGGATGAAGACTAGCACGTGTTGTCTGTTGGCTTTGACGTTAAAAACAGAAAGGGAGAAGGCTTAGTGATGGTGGCAGACAGACGCTGAGATGGCCCCATGAGCCGCACCGCATGTCACGTCCTTGGGGCATCCCCTCCCCACTCCTTGCCTGGGGCAGGGGATGGGGGGTACGTGACTTATTCTGAAACAACAGAATATGGCAAAGGTGATGATTACGTAGGGACCACATGGATGCAATTCCATTATGGAAGACTAACTCCAACCTGCCAGGAGACTCTGGCTTTGAAAAGGTCACCAGGGTAAGAACTGAGGGTGGCCTCCTGCTAAAGGCCAGCAAGAACCCGAGGCTCTCAGTTCAAAGCCTACGAGAAATTGAATGTTGCCGACATCACAGGAGCTCAGAAGGAATCCCACAGCCAACTCATGTGCGTGCACCTTTGAGAGACCCTGAGAAGACGACCCAGCTAAGCCACGCCCAGGCTCCTGACCCCCAGAAACTCAGGGCAATAAATATGTGGTGTTCAAAGCAGTCATATTTGCAGTGGTATTATAATATGTGCTTGCTCAGTTGTGTCCAACTCTCTGAGCTCCTGTGGACTGTAGCCCGCCAGGCTCCTCTGTCCATGGGATTCTCCAGGCCAGAACACTGGAATGGGTTGCCATGCCCTCCTCCAGGGGACCCTCCCGACCCAGGGATAGAACCTGCATCTCTTACATCTCCGGGATTGGCAGGCGAGTTCTTTACCACTAGCGCCACATGGTCTGTTGTAAAGTGAGCTGAGGGGAGATTGCACACAAAAAGGAAGCAAAGTCCTAACAGCCTGCTGGAGAAACTGGAGGGCAGCTGGAACTTTCCAGGGAAGCTGGGGATGGGGTGGAGGTGGCAGGAGGGGACCCAGGGCAGGCAGAGAAGAGCACTCTCATTGTCAGTGTCCCTTTCTTTCTAAATTGCAGTAAACAGGAAGCAGCAGCTGGAGCTGGTTCACAGAAGGAATCATACACCCTAGAGAGGAGTAGGGAATTGAGAAATGTTTTACTAAGAAGTAAAAAAGAAATCAAACTTCCAAGGAACTACTTGTGGTACATTTGTTTTCTTTAACAAAAGGGCCAGGTGTTAGGGAGACTGTTCCGAGCAAAGGATCCCAGGGGTAGGGGAAAATAGCACAAGCTCTGGAGTTCAAATCCTGGCTTCAAATGCCAGCTTGGCCATTTCCAATGCTGGGGCTCTGGGTGAGTCATTCCACCTCTCCGAGCCTCGATGCCCTCACTAAAGGGAGAGACAAACACCTCTCCACCTGCTGGACTTTCCCAGCCATTAGTCACAATGCACAGCATGCCTGGCACATAGCAGGCACTCAAGAAATGATCATGAACATGGCATTCATGGCCCTCGGTAGGCTTGAGGCCTCATTTTCTGCCTTTTCACGGTACACACTCCCACAGCCCCATAATCTTCAAATACGCCATGAATTTTCATACCACCAAGCCTTCTATGGGCCTATCCTCTAGCTAGAGAACTCCTATACATCCTTCAATGCCCAAGCCAAAACTCCATTACAGAATCTTTTCCAGAAATCATCCAGGATAAGGAGTAGCTCCATCTCCCAAATTTCACAGTGAGTTTCTAATATTTTTAGAATTGATCCCACCAGTCTGAGCCACAGCTGGTGTTTGCAGTATTGTAGCAAACACAGCTGGACGCTCACCCAGCATCTATACCATTGGGGTAAGGTACTCAAAGCTCAGGGTAGGTAAGCCTCTGTCTCCAGTTCCAGGGTTAATTCTCATTGGTCTAAACCAATCATGGCTATTTCATTCCCTAGCCTCTGATTGGTTAAAGAGGAGCATGTGACCATCTCTGGCCAATGACTAATGAGGGGAATTCTTGCTGGCCCAGTTCTGTCCTTGGGAAGAGAAAGATGGGGAAAGATGTCTCATTAACTTCTGCCCCACCAACCAAAAGAAGCTGGAAATGGAATTCTGAGGCCTGGGGCAACCCCGAGTACCTACCACTACGCCACAGCCCAGGCACATTGACTGATTCTGTCTGCTGGTTGGAGTCTGGTGCCAGGTCCCAAACCCAGCTGCATTTCAGCCAGCCCAGTCTCTGTTCCCTGTTCCCCAGAACTTCCTTTGGGGAGCCACCCCTCCCTCATTCTCGGCCCATCTGATCTGGGTGGGGTTGACCTGACCAGCTCCAGAGCGGGGAATGTAATCCTCCCCTAGCCAGTGTGAACACTGTATCAGCACCCCCCTCCTGCCTACAGCCTGTGACACGTTCAGAGACTGGCATGTGCTCCCAGCCAGGTAGCTGATCACTGGCCCCAGGACCTTTACTGGGACTGTCTGGAGAGAAGAACTTTTCCCCCTGTGGCTTTAAGGCCGGAGCTTCTACTGGGCATTTGGCCTCTACGTGAGCGAAGAGCCTGCTTAGAAATGAGGCCAAGGGCCTCCCTGGGGGCTCAGTAAGGAATTTGTCTGCCAGTGCAGGAGACATGGGTTCAATCCCTGATCTGGGAAGATCCCACGTGCTGCAGAGCAATTAAGCCCATGGGCAACATCTACTGAGCCTGTGCCCTGGAGCCTGGGAGCCACAACTACTAAAGCCTGAGAGTCCGAGAGCCTGGGTTTTGGAAACAAGAGAAGCCCGAGCGCTACAACTAGAGAATAGCCCCCGCTCCCCACAATCAGAGAAAGGCTGGGCAGCAACCAAGACGCAGCACAGTCAAAAACAATAAATAAATGAAATTATTAAAAAAAAAAAAATGAAGCCAGGGCTTCCCTGGTGGCTCAGTGGTAAAGAATTAGCCTGTCAGTGCAGAGGACACGGATCCAATCCCTGGTCTAGGAAGACCCCACATGCCTATGGAGCAACTAAACCTGGCCACCACAACTACTGAGCCTGTGCTCTAGACCCTGCGAGCCACAACTACGGAGCCCAAACGCTGCAATGACCGAAGCCCACACGCCTGGAGCCTGTGCTCCACAACAAGAGAAACTATTGCACTGAGAAACTCCCGAATACCGCAACTACAGAGTTGCCGCAACTAGAGAAGGCCCGCAGACCCAGCGCAGCCATAAATAAATTAAAAAAAAAAAATGAAGCCAACACAAAATAAGGCAGGACCTAACGATGGAGACTCCAGGATCCTGGATCCAACCATGATGAGCAAACACATCACCTTCCTTTGGACCCTACAGATGGTACCCGCTTCTCCCCTCCAGCCCATCCCCTGAGCTAAGCCTGCACCAGTCCAGGGATGGGAAGGGGATTTACTGACCAAACTGCCTCTTTCCTTGGCATCTGTGCCAACCCCCTCTTCCCGACTGCTCTGAGCCTCTCCTGTATGAGCCTGGCTACCCTTCCTGTTTCTGTCCCACATCCTGGCCCAGTGCCAAGGAGGAAAACCACACCTGAGAGATGTAAATCAACACCTACCACCTCCCTGGCTTGGCCAGAAAGAGAGGAAGCAGCAACAGAGCTGATGTGGCAGCTCAAGACGTCTGGGGCCTCTCCGTGGCAGCCAAGGTCAGGCCGGCCTGGCTCCTGTGACACGCGGCATGGTCCCCAGCAGACTCTCGATAGTTACAGACTAGGGTCCGCGAGGACGAGATGGATGGGACTCTGAGGCCCGAGGCTCTCAGGGGAAAAGGAGGACGAGGTTTATGACGTTGTTGTGCCAGGCAGGGGCGCCTGTCTATGTCACCCCCTTTATGCTCTCCACAGCCCTGTGGGGTTGGGCACTCTTGTTAGCGCCAAGTTACAGATGGGGAAACTGAGGCAAGAGGCGAGTGAGCAAGAAATTCAAGATCATGCAGCAAGTGGCAGGGCAGGTTTTGGAACCCGGCTCCCTGGGGTGCCAGGGCCCCTGGCGTTCAGATGTTGTCCCTCCAATGGGAGTATCTGAGGCAAAAATGTGAGTGGCTGACAATGGCCTTCACCCCCACCTGCACCTCTATTTTGAGGGGGGCTCAGCCATCCATTGTGTAGCCCTGAGATTATTTGATGGTTTCTTACAAATCAAATTCTCCCTGTTTTAAAAATGTCAATGCGTGCTGTGCATTCTAAGTCGCTTCAGTCTTGTCCAACTCTTTGCGACCATACGGACTGTAGCCCACCAGGCTCCTCTGTCCATGGGATTCTCCAGATGAGAATGTTGGAGTGGGTTGCTGTGCCCTCCTCCAGGGAATATTCGCCACCTAGGGATTGAACCAACATCTCTTATGTCTCCTGCATTGGCAGGCTGGTTCTTTATAACTAGCAGCACCTGGAAGCCCCAGAATGTCAGTCAGTTCAGTTCAGTTCAGTCCTCAGTCATATCTGACTCTTTGCGTCCCCATGGACTGCAGCATGCCAGGCCTCCCTGTCCATCACCAACTCCAGGAGCTTACTCAAACTCATGTCCACTGAGTTGGTGATGCCATCCAACCATCTCATCCTCTGTCATCCCCTTCTCTTCCCACCTTCAATCTTTCCCAGCATCAGGGTCTTTTCAAATGAGTCAGCTCTTTGCATCAGGTGGCCAAAGTATTGGAGTTTCAGCTTCAGCATCAGTCCTTCCAATGAATATTCAGGACTGATTTCCTTTAGGATGGACTGGTTGGATCTCCTTGCAGTCCAAGGGACTCTCAAGAGTCTTCTCCAGCACCACAGTTCAAACATCAATTCTTTGGCACTCAGCTTTCTTTATAGTCCAACTCTCACGTCCATACATGATTATTGGAAAAACCATAGCCTTGACTAGATGGACCTTTGTTGGCAAAGTAATGTCTCTGCTTTTTCATATGCTGTCTAGGTTGGTCATAGCTTTTCTTCTAAGGAGCAAGCGTCTTTTGGCTGCAGTCACCATTGGCAGTGATTTTGAAGTCCAAGAAAATAAAGTCTCTCACTATTTGCATTGTCTCCCCATCTATTTGCCATGAAGTGACAGGACCAGATGCCATGATCTTAGTTTTCTGAATGTTGAGTTTTAAGTCAACTTTTTAACTCTCCTCTTTCACTTTTGTCAAGAGCCTCTTTAGTTCTTTGCTTTCTGCCATAAGGGTGGTGTCATCTGCATATCTGAGGTTATTGATATTTCTCCCAGCGATCTTAATTCCATCTTGTGCTTTATCCAGCCTGGCATTTCACATGGTGTACTCTGCATATAAATTAAATAAGCAGGGTGACAATATACAGCCTTTACATACTCCTTTCCTGATTTGGAACCAGTGTGTTGTTCCATGTCCAGTTCTAACTGTTGCTTCCTGACCTGCATACAGATTTCTCAGGAGGCAGGTCAGGTGGTCTGGTACTCCCATCTCTTGAAGAATTTTCCAGTTTGTTGTGATCCACACAGTCAAAGGCTTTGGTGTAGTCAATACAGCAGAAGTAGATGTACTTCTGGAACTCTCTTGCTTTTTTGATGATCCAACAGATGTTGGTCATTTGATCTCTGGTTCCAAATATATTTGTTTAAAAAGGAACATCACTAATAAAAAAAAAATTAAATAAAACAGAACTCCTCTGCCACGGCTGTGTCTGGGGGCAAGTATCAGATGCCATGAACATCTCATAAAGTAAATGCAATCAGAACCATGCAACAGCATTAAATTATGGCTGTACGTCTTTTCTGAGGGAAGGCTCTGAGCCTGCAGACCCTTCTCTCTGTTACAAAGAAGCTCAGCTGACAGATTTCTAATTTATATTCATTCAAAACTTTGATAATAGTTCCATGTATTTTGGTATCTGGAGAATCCCAGGGACGAGGGAGGCTGGTGGGCTGCCGTCTATGGGGTCACACAGAGTTGGACACGACTGAAGTGACTTAGCAGCAGCATTACTGATAAAAGTCTAGAAAGTTTATTATTCATAGTGCTTTAAAAAAGTATTTGAATGAGGCTTGAAACTTCTAATCTAATTCTGAGGATTTAAATACTATGTTGCTAAAGAAAAAAAGCAAGAAATTAATGTGATACAGCATTATTAACTAAAGTACAGATTTAGTTCAAATATCAAATAAATAAATAAATCTTAAAAAAAAAAAAAAGCTCAGCTGAGAAGTGACTCTTGACAGTCAGTTTCAGGAGGGAGTGACCATCTCTCCCTGAGATTCAGTCATTTAAGTGTGTTTAGAGGTATCGCCTAAAATCTCAAGTGCCCCACCCCTGGGAAACAGATGTGGTCCACAGCTCTTCCTTTACAGATGAGGAGCCATGTCTGAAAATAAACTCCCTGTCTGCACACTGGGAATCAGGGGCCTAGAGAGGTGGAGAGACTGGTCCCCGAACAGCCACGTCCAGATAGGGGTCGCTCTCCCATCTCACACCCCAGAGTCTGAGTCTCCACCCACCCGAGTCCCAAGCAGTCACAGAGAAACCCCGAGGGTGCCCACTCACATCCGTGGGGTCGTTTTCATTTGAGATGTTGACCAGGTAGGAGAGCTCGGAGTTCAGGTGGTTCTCAGAAGGGTATGGGTTGTTCCATGTCAGCAGCCACGTGTGGGAGATGTCGGCCTCAACTGTGAGGTTTCTGGGGGCCAGCGGTTTCACTGTGGAGAAGGAGTGGCTGGTGAGGGGCTGGGTGGGGCGACGGGAGGAGGTGGGGCTATGCAGGCATGTAGACAGTTTAGATTCTCAGTCACCACCACCTCCGCAGCACATCAATGGGAAACCACAGAGATTTAGTCATAACAGAGAATTACAACCATATACCTGATTCTCACGTTGCTAAAATCCTACTGAGCACTTATTGTTCTCCTTGTTTAGTTGTTAAGTCATGTCAGACTCTTTTTGCTATCCCATGGACTGTAGCCCACCAGGCTCCACTGTTCATGGGATTTCTCAGGCAAGAATACTAAAGTGAGTTGCCATTTCCTTCTCCAGAATATCTTCCCTCCCCGGGGATCAAACCTGCATCTCCTGTACTGGCAGGCGGGTTCTTTACCACTGAGCCATCAGGGAAGTCCACTGAACACTTCAGTGGTTATTAACTACCTTTTCACAGTGAATGCAAAACAGATAAGCCAAGTAACCCGAACTCTGGCTTTTCCACTTTGATCCTTCTGGCCACATCTGTGTCCTGTATTATTTACTAAGCATTTTTCTTTATTTTGATTCATGTGTTTTAAAACTTCATCTCTTTTAAAATGATCATACCCACGAGATCACAGGTACATAATGAGCATTAAAAGTCGCTCAGTCTTGTCCAACTCATTGCGACCCCAGGGACTATACAGTCCATGGAATTCTCCAGGCCAGAATACTGGAGTGGGTAGTCTTTCCCTTCTCCAGGGGATCTTCCCAACCCAGGGATCGAACTCAGGGATCAAACCCAGGTCTCTCACATTGCAGGTGGATTCTTTACCAGCTGAGCCACAAGGGAAGCCCAAGAATACTAGAGTGGGTAGCCTATCCCTTCTCCAGTGGATCTTCCTGACCCAGAAATCGAACTGGGGTCTCCTGCATTGCAGGTGGATTCTTAACCAATTGAGCTATCAGAGAAGCCCCTAAAATCAATATGCATGTGTAAAAATTATTTTAATTGATAGGTTCATTCATAGGTCAATTTAAATCACCCCTACCCCACCCTGGGTATGAGAAATCGCTTCAGGAATTGCTGATGTAGTGGTGAAGACTGTGTGCTCTGTGAGAATACTGTCACTACCACTTAGTAGCTGTGTGACCTTAGGCAGGTTACTTGCCTTCTCTGAACTATGTACTTTTTTTCTTCTCAATTGCAAAATAGGGGTACTAACTGTCTTTGAGAAACCAAGGCTCAGAGAGGTAACAAGGCTTGCCCAAGGTCACACAGGAATGAATGGTGTTTTAAACTCCTGTTACTACACTCCAGCACACTCTCCAGGGATTCCTGTGGGAACTCTGGCTATCAGGATAAGGGCAGCCTCCCACAGTCAACACTGTCTAAAGAAGCAGCAGCTGAATAGCTGATAGGGTGGAAGGATGGTTCCCAATTCAGTTTCTGACCTGCAGCAAGCATGCCTTCCACCAAACACACCTCATTCAACACGTTGATCTGGCCACTTAAATTTTGAAGGTTGAAATATCTGAACTGAACGGGGCCTGATGTACTCTTGAGCCAACTCCATCTCAAAGATGGGAGGACTGAGGCCCAGAAAGGGGCACGAACCCCATCGGGTTTGGGAAAAGGTAGGAGGCTGCTTGGATGGCCCCCTCCCGGGAATGAAGCCTACCCAGCACACTGCGGGAATGCCTGCAGCCCCACCCCCGCCCCGCCCCACCCTACTCACCATGCTCACTGGGCTTGAAGGAGCTGTTCCACAGCAGCTGCTCGCCGCCCCACAGGTCCACCTGGTAGGTATCTTCTCTGACCACGTTATCTGTCAGCATATGGCATATGCACACCGTGTCCCCCGCACCTGCTTTGTTCTCAGGGATACATTTGTTGATTCTGCAAACACAGATGTTACATTAGGCTGGGCATGAGACCCACAGGTGTTCCAGGATACACCTCAAGGAACCACAGGCCCTTCCAGCTTCCTGGTCACCCTGCCTCAAGGACCAGATCTGGGGACTTGGGACCAGAGCAGCTGTGGTGTGGTGGGGACAATGACCTGGGGACCACCTCCCTGCTGCCCACAGCTCCTCATCACATCCACCATGGACTTTTATCCACCCCTGTCCCCAGGCTTGGACCCTGAAAGCCAGTGAAAGGGAAGAACCCATGGCATGGAAGAATTTGTAACGACATATGTGTGTGTTCTAGAGCCTCTCCGGTCGCACAGGCTAGCCTGGGCACATACCCTGTGCCCCACAGCTTAACGTGTCACCCAAAATAGTCAACCGCACATCTCGTGGGCTAGGCCAGCGGCTGGCAAATGTTTTCTGTAATGGACCAGATACTAAATACTTGTGGCTTTGCGGGACATACCCTTTCTGTCCCAACTATACAACTCTGCTGATACAGCACAAAAAAGCCCCAGCCATAGACAATACATAAACAAATGGGCATGGATGTGTGTCAATAAAACTTTATTTAAAAAACATGGAAAAAAAAAAACGGGTGGTGGGCCAGATGTGACCCATGGGGCAGTTTGCAGATCCCCGGTCTAGGCCAATGTGCATACAGAAGCACAGTCGGTAGCCCAAATTGGGTAGCCACATTGTGTGTACTCAGTAGCCCCCATAGGGTACGACGTATATCCCATTGTGCTCCATAACTATATGTCTTGTGTACTAGGTCATGTCCTGGGTATCACGTGCAACAGCAGTTAGCCCTGTGTACCATGGGATATCCCAGTGAACCCCCTGGAAAAACATTCCAAGTTCCATGGTCCACCAATGAGCTCTATCACTAACACTGCACCCCTAAACAATGGTCTAGCCTGGAAGTTCTCAAAGTGTGGTCCACTGGTCTAACAGTTTTCATAGTAATACTCTGACATCAGCCATCATTTCCACTGTTTTTCTCTCACAAGCTTAGAGTGGAATTTTCCAGAGGCCACATGATCTGTGGCCATGTTGTTGCTCTGACAGCCTGTTGAATGGGAACTTGTTGGCTCTTGTAATTTAAATTTTCTGTTTTAATTTCTAACACAGAAAATATCAATAGATGTAAGTTGCCCAGGCTACATCTATTGGAAGGACTGATGGTGAAGCTGAAGCTCCAGTACTTTGGCCACATGATACAAAGAGCCAACTCAGTGGAAAAGACCCTGATGCTGGAAAAGACCCTGATGCTGGGAAAGACTGAGGGCGGGAAGAGAAGGGGGTGACAGAGGATGAGATGGTTGGATGGCATCACTGACTGACTCAGTGGACATGAGTCTGAGCTAACTCTGGGAGATAGTGAAGGAAGGGAAGCCTGACATGCTGCAGTCCATGGGGGTCGCAGAGTGTCGGACATGACTTAATGACTGAATAGCAACAACAGCTGATATCAGACTAAAGCTTTTGGGGTCCTCGCTAATTCTTAAGAATTCAAGAGAATCCTCAGTCAAAAATGTTTGATAACCTCTGGTCTAGTCCAGAATTCCACCACATCCACCTGCTAGGTGCCTTGGTGATACTGACCCTGGAGCACCTCAATGCACTCATTGCCTCTTACCCTGCACCCCAGGGCGCCTCATCTCTGCGGTGCCCAGTCAAGCCCCCTAGAGCTGAATTTAGCACATGCACTCCAGGACACCACCTAGGCCAGGTGAACTCCAAGGCAAACCCTCCCCAACTTCCAGCTCCAGCCCAGACTCACTCAGAGAAGTAAAAGTTGAGCTGGTAGGTCAGGCGGAGCTCGGCCCGGCAGTCGGTGGGCTTGGACATCACCCACTCACAGGTGGAGAAGGCGATGTAGTCGGAGAAGCAGGTGGGATTCTGAAGGACCCTCATGCCCCCTGGGGAGACACAGGAGACCTCTGAGCAGCTGGAGCCCGACGACCAAGAGGGATGAGTCAGAAACCAGCCCACACGGGGCCAAGGGGCCCATCACACAACAATGAAACCACTGTCCCAGGCACAGTCCCTACAGAGTGGGGGCCAGGACCGGGCTCTGGGAGTTTCCCAGCTGGCACTGGGGTGATGCCTGCAGCTGAAGAAATACCCTCTGGGACAGGGTCCATCAGTGGGGACAGACCAAATGCACTTTTATCGTATGCAAACTCATTGACCTGCCCGTGGCTGAATTAAAGAAAAAACATGTCAGTCTGGGGATTGCTACCCCACCACCACAGGCATCTGTCCCATGGTGTGGGTTGGGGGAGGCACTATTTTCCGCTGTCTTGCTCCCTGCCCCCCATCTATTCCCCAGCCCTCTCTGTGCCCAGGAGGCTGACCCCCATGGCCTTGTCACCCAGACACCTGGTCCTCTGGCTTGGGCCAATGCTGAAGGACCGGATGAAAGGCTTGGGGGACTTCCTCCAGCGAGTTTGTTGGCAGAGCTGGAATCTGAACCCAGCCAGATGAATGCTGGGTTTTGCCAAATCATCAGGGAGCTATCGCCCTGCCCTGGGCGGCCAGTACCTGGCCACCAGGTGCCTTCCGGCTCCCACGCTCAGTACCAGGCCCCTCCCAGCTCACATCAACTTGTGTTTGTTTGCTGGATAAAGGAGTTACCACATTAAGGAGAATCTAGCTGTTGTTTAGTCTCTAAGTCATGACTCTCTTGCGACCCCACAGAACCTTTGAGATTTCCCAGGCACGAATACTGGAGTGGGTTTGCCATTTCCTCCTCCAGGGGATCTTTCCAACCCAGGGATCAAACCTGTATCTCCTGCACTGGCAGGCGGATTCTCTAACACTGAGCACCAGGGAAGCCAAGGAGAGTCTTAACTCACCTCATGTCTAAAACTAATTCCTGATTCCCCGCCCGCTCCAAATATCCTCTGCATCTCATCAGTGACAACTGTGTCCCTCCCAGTCACTCAGGTTAGAAATACCGGAGTCATTCTTGCTACCTCTGTCTCTCTCACCTCTACTCCAATCTGTCTTCAGATCTACCTTCCAGATGGATCCAAACGCCAATGCCACCTCCTCGGCTCTGCTGGTCCCAGCCCCACCTGTCTCACGGTGCCTCCTCCCTGCCTCCCAGCTTCCACCCTGCTTGGTCCCCTGCTTACCTAGTTATCTCCATCTCTTCCCTCCTCCTGCTCACTGACTCCCCTGTGTCTGCCTCGTTTGGTCTCTCCAACACTCCAGGCAGGCTCTGGGCTCAGGGCCGCCACTGAGGACACTCCTAACCTGGGCGAGTGCCCGGCACCCCATTTCCTTCAAATTTTTGCTCCACTGTGACTCCAGGCATTTTATTATTATTATTGTTTTTAATTTTTAAATTGAAGGACAATTGCTTTACAGAATTCTGTGGTTTTCTGTCATACATCAAAAAGAATCAGCCATGGGTATACCCATGTCCCTTCCCTTCCTGAACCTCCCTTCCATCTTTCAAATCACAGTCCTTCCCCTCCAGCCAGCATTCCCAGTCCTCCCGCATCTGTCCTATTTTGTCTTTTGCCATCACCTTCTGAACGAATTTGAGCAAAACTCTGGGAGACAGTGGAGCCTGGCATGCTGCAGTCCCTCGGGTTGCAAAGTCGGACACAACTTAGCGACTGAACAACAACAACATCACCTTCTAAGGTAGCCTTTCCCTTCTCCAGGGGATCTTGCCAACCCAGGGATCGAACCTGGGTGTTGCAGGCAGACTCTTAATACTGAAGTGGGTAGCCTATCCCTTCTCCAGCAGATCTTCCTGACCCAGGAACTGAACTGGTGTCTCCTGCATTGCAGGTGGGTCAGTTACCAGCTGAGCTATCAGGGGAGCCCCTAAAGATCTTTAGAATCTCCTTAATATTAGAACCATTTGCCATCAGCTGTCCCCTCCCACTATCATGCACAATCTTTGTGTTGTTCTCTGATTATCCTGGGGGCCTGGTGCGGAAACAATCTAAAGGTTTGCTGAATGAAGGAAGGAACAGATGAATGATGGGGGGTGACTTACCGGAACCGGCCACCCACAAGAGGATCAGGCAGCTCACTGGGAACATGAGTACAGAGAGAAGCCGCCCCATCGGGAGATCCTACAGTGCCTGCTGGGAGCAAGTAATCGGGTTAGCGGGTTAGTGGTTTAGCACTGACTCGTGATCTCCCAGTCTCATCAACCCGAGGGCAGCTTTCAGAGCTCACCTCCCTCTAGACAGGACCCTCCCCTGGCCAGCAACAAGCCTCCCACACACCCCCAGAGCTCTGCTTACAACCAGTAAACACAATACACCCGCACAAAGCCCAGAGTCAGAGCCACAGAACTCCTGTCCCAAGAGATGCTTCTTGAAAAAAACCCCATGGCCTGTTAAGTTTGAGCAACCCCTTTAGACTTCTGCAAATTCATAATGCACATTAACATGTGAAGGTTCTGATAAGTCTCACAGTAAAGGAATCTATCTTTCTTCACTTAACCCAAGGCTTACAAAATTTATTTCCAGACCTAGACTTCATTTATGTGTGTGTGTGTGTGTGTGTGTGTGTGTGTGAAAACCCCAATTAGTCTCTGGAGCAGTTTACAGTTGCTTGAAATATACTTTGGAAATGCCAGTCTTTAATTGTCCAGCCTTACAGAGCTGGTTAAATAAATGATGGTACCCATGCCAGGAAGTATTATGTTCTGTGCTTAGTCACTCAATCATGTCTGACTCTTTTGCGACCCCATGGACTGTAGCCTACCAGCCTCCTCTGTCCATGGGATTTCCCAGGCAAGAATACTGGAGTTGGTTGCCATTTTCTTCTCCAGGGTATCTTCCTGACGCAGGGACTGAACTTGCTTCTCCTGTGTCTCTTGCATTGTAGGTGGATTCTTTACCCATTGAGCCATCAGGGAAGCCCCCATGAAGTATTAGGCAGCCACTAAAAATGACACTGCTGAGTGTGTTAGATTTACTACATCCATGGCTTAGCTCTTCACTCCTCTTGTACCCATGCAACTTTGGAGTCCCTTGAATAGCAAGGAGATCAAACCAGTTGATCCTAAAGGAAATCAACCCTGAATATTCACTGGAAGGATTGCTGCTGAAGGTGAAGCTCCAGTACATTGGCCACCTGATGCAAAGTGCCGACTCGCTGGAAAAGCCCCTGATGCTAGGCAAGATTGAAGGCAAAAGGAGGAGGGTGGCAGAGGATGGGATGGTTGGGTAGCACCACAGACTCAGTGGACATGAATTTGAGCAACCATATGACCCAGCAATCCCACTTCTGGGCATACACACCGAGGAAACCAGATCTGAAAGAGACACGTGCACCCCAATATTCATCGCAGCACTGTTTATAATAGCCAGGACATGGAAGCAACCTAGATGCCCATCAGCAGACGAATGGATGAGGAAGCTGTGGTACATATACACAATGGAATATTACTCAGCCATTAAAAAGAACTCATTTGAATCAGTTCTAATGAGATGGATGAAACTGGAGCCCATTATACAGAGCGAAGTAAGCCAGAAAGATAAAGACCATTACAGTATACTAACACATATATATGGAATTTAGAAAGATGGTAACGATAACCCTATATGCAAAACAGAAAAAGAGACTCAGATGTATAGAACAGACTTGTGGACTCTGGGAGAAGGCGAGGGTGGGATGTTTCGAGAGAACAGCATCGAAACATGTATATTATCTAGGGTGAAACAGATCACCAGCCCAGGTTGGGTGCATGAGACAAGTGCTCGGACTTGGTGCACTGGGAAGACCCAGAGGGATCGGGTGGAGAGGGAGGTGGGAGGGGGGACCGGGATGGGGAATACATGTAAATCCATGGCTAATTCATTTCAATGTATGACAAAAACCACTGCAATGATGTAAAGTAATTAGCCTCCAACTAATAAAAATAAATGGGAAAAAAAAAAAAAAGATAGTGGAGAACAGGAAAGCTTGGCGTGCTGCAGTCCATAGGGTCGGACATGACTTAGCAACTGAACAACAACCACCTTGCAGTGCTCCCACCCCCATCATCACTCGGGGTAGGGTGTTCTCCCTGACCCTTGAACCCTGGCCTCAACTATGTGACTAGCTCCCGCCAGTAGGACATTAGCAAAAGTGATGCACAGGGAGACCTGCTGCTGCAGGACCACTGCCTGGACAACACGCCTGGGCTAGACTCTGGGAGGATGCTGACATGCAACAGTCCCAGCAGTTTCATGCTGTGTTAGGCAACAGGCAGACACCCCACTTGGGAGAGTGAGGTCACTTGAGTCAGGTCAAGATCAGCAGGGCTGCGTGGCCAACTGGAGGCTGACCTTGGATGCACGAGTGAGATCAGCCCAGTAAAATCAGCCAAGCCCAGGTAAGCTGGCCTATAAACTTGAGCTAAAAAATGTCTCCTGTTACATGCCGCTCGAAGTTTTGTGGTTAGTTGTTACACAACACTATTACTGTTCCCCTCCAGTCATTACTCCACCACTCTGACTTCTAACCCTTGGATCACTTTTCTGCTGTTTACACAAATGGAATAGTGCATCACCCCTAGCGTGTTAATGACACCCCATAACCCATGATCTATTGTTGTTCAGTCACTCAGTCGTGTCTGCAGCACAGCAGGCTTCCCTGTCCTTCACCATCTCCTGGAGTTTGCTCAGACTCATGTCCATTGAGTTGATGATTCCATCCAACCATCTCATCCTCTGTTGCTCTCTTCTCCTCCTGCCCTTAGTCTTTCCTAGCATCAGCACCCAATCCGAGATTGGGGAATAAAAATTAGAAAATGTGATTACCCCAAAGAAAACCTAATTCAAATCCCCCCAAATCACGAGGCCCAGCAAGAACCCCTTACGTACTGAAATCTATTCTTCCAGATCTGTTCTATAAAAACCGGGAGATAAATATAAATTTTATTTACCAAAATAGCAGCACCCAATACATGCTAAAGCTTAAAATTTAAACTTACTACATCCTTTAACATCATTCCAGGCCACTAGATCCCCAACAGTTAATTAGTAGTATTCCATTGTGTGGCCACTGTCAGCTTTTAGCCCTTATTTATTATGTTTATTACTTTGTTACTATAAACAGCGGGGTTTATGAGCCCTTCCTTGGAGAACCATCACCATACATTTCTCTGATTATTTCCTTAACTTTAAATACTTGCTCTGTCGCTTGGGACAGAGCAAATTGCTTAACGCCCCTGTTTGTTGGTTTCCTAATCCATTAAGTGGAGCCAATATACCCCATTTCACTGGGATGTTATGAGGATTTTTTACAAATTAATTAATTAACTAGGCTGTGTAGAGTCTTAGCTGCGGGCATACTGGAGTTTCTCTCTAGTTGAGGCGTGTGGCATATGGGATCTTATGCCGTCCAAGGATCGAACCTGAGTCCCCTATATTGGAAGGTGGATTCTTAACCGCTGGACCATCAGGGAAGTCCCTGTTGTGAGGGTCCCTGTTGTGTGGAGTCCTCAAACAGACCTGAACAAAGTAATGGATTGAGTATTGTCAGCAGTTATCATCACTAAGAAAAGCTCTCAGAAGCCGGCTCCCCAGGGGTCAAGGAGTTTGCAATTTCCTCCCACCTGGTGCTTAAAGCCAAACACCCTCTCAGAAGCAATAGTCTGGCACGGCTCCCCTGGCTTGACTGAGAGCACCCACCCCTCCACCCGCTAACCCCGCAGCGGTCTCTAGGTGGGGGTCCCATCCGGAAAAGCAGCTGCCAGGCCTCGGGCTGCTTCAAAGTTCACGCGCCATTAAGAGAGTCACCCTATCTTTCAGAGTTTTGGCTCCTTTTACTGCTCCTTGGAAAAGATACCAAGATCAACCTCACAGGTATGTTGCAAAGAGGAAGTGAGCTGTGTACCTACAGCACCTGGCACAAAGTCGGGAGCACGAGATGGCCCTAGTACCTCGCCAGGAGCCCCAGGCTCCGTCGGAAGCTTTCCAGTGACTTTGTCCCACTTGAAATCCCTCCCGAGCTGGACCAAGCTCCCTCTCCACCTGGCCCCGCCTCCCTCTCTACTTGGCCCCGCCCCTCTGAACTTGGCCCCGCCTCCTCTCCACCTGGCCCCCACCCGCACAGGCACTCCTGCCCCACTGGACACCTTCACTTCCTGCCACTCTTCAATCACACCAGGAACTCATTCTCACCCCCATGCCTTTCCTCTCCCTATCCTTCTCATTCATGTTTGCTCACTCTCGTCTCCCTCTCGTGTATTCATTCATTTATACATTTATTCATAATGAATAAACGACCCCTTAATACTTGAGTAGTTTATTAAGAAAAGCAAGGACAGTCACCAACATAACTACAATAGAACCATCAAACGCAGGCAGTTAACAGGGATGCCAGCTAACCCACAGACCCTATTTCCTTTTTGCTAATTGCCCCGACGATGCCCTTTTATGCCTCTGAGGACCATGCCATCCCAGCACCCAGGGCTTGGCTTCTAAATATTATTCTGCATGGACAGAAACCAGAGCTCCTCGGAGGAACAGCTGACTCTAGGAGCGGGGAAAGTACAAGAAAAGCTTAGAATTCTTGTGCCAGAAAGTAAGGGCGGGCTCCAAGAATGATGAAGACCTCTCAAAAAGAGCCAGCTAGAATGGGTGTCCACTGGCCAAAACAGGCAAAATTGGAACCTCATAATGACTCTTTTAGAAACCAACTGTAACCCTTAAGAGATAAAATAGGGGTACAGAAGTCTAAGGTGATACAGATGAATAAGTAAGTGGGGGGAACGGGCAACTCTATTTCACCACAGCAGCCTCCAAGTATCTCCCCACAAACTCATATTAATTATTATAAGTTAATGAGTCAAATGCTTATTAATTAACTATGCATGCATGCTAAGTCGCTTCAGTCATGTCCAACTCTTTGGGGCCCCAAGGACTATAGCCCATCAGGCTCCCCATTCCATGGGATTCTCCAGGCAAGAATACTGGAGTGGGTTGTCATGCCCTCCTCCAGGGAATCTTCCTGACCCAGGGATCGAAGCAGGTCTTTTAGGTCTCCTGCATTGACAGCCGGGTTCCTGACCACTAACACCACCTGGGAAGCTCCATTAATTAACTTTATAACTTTAGATATTTTG